GAGAAATTTATTCTGAAATATATTCATGATTCTTACATTTATAGGATAGCTATGCAAATGCCGATGTCAACTCTCGAGTTCTAGAAATAACAGATGGAAATGACGAGAGTTCTTCAGTTGAATCGGCTTCATCTCCGTCGAAGAAGAAAACTTCCCGAAAGAGTGGCGACTCTGCGAAAAGTCATAATATGATTACAAGGAAAAAAATCAAAACTGAGAAACTAGCTTAAGATTGGTTTTATTATTTTGGATTAATTTCAAAGATGCGATGTTCTAATATTGTGGTATATTGTTTTGGATTGTTATTTTGGATTATCAAAAACATGCTAATCTTTAATGTTGATTTAATTATTTTTAATTTTTTGCTCAAACTATATCATAATAAGTGATAATTTGAAATACTATGTTATATATTATAAGTTATATTGAAATATTATAATAGTATTATAAAGAAATTATTATTCAATAATGAAATTAATTAAAAATTATCCAAGTATATTTAAATATTTGATTATTTGAAACTGTTTGGTGTGACAATACAAGTAAAATATAGGAAACTATTTGGTGTGACAACAAAAGTGAAATACTGGAAATATCCCAATAATGAGTATTATGTCTAAAATTCCTAAAGTTATAGGAAACTGTTTGGTGTGACAATACAAGTAAGATATATCCCTAATACAAAAATATATGCAAAACTATAGATAAGCAAAATTTCTAATTTAAAGGATAATGAAAATGTCAACAATAATATATATTAAACTAAATGGAAATATACAAATTCGCTAATCAATAAAATTAAATTAATTATAAGATTAATACGATTCTTAATTTGATAATCACGAAATCTCTTCACCATGAGTTTATATATTAGATACAAATTTTACTTAAACCTATCGTTCAGATCTTTGAGTTGAACATCAAGTAAAGATGATATTATAGACATAATTTCATGTTAGGACAATGATTAACTGTATTTTTGATTTTTTTGTAGGTCGTTACGTTTAGGAAAACACAATGAAACCTTCCAAGCTTCCATATCGGAGAAAGAAATATGCAGCTCATGGTATGTTTAAAAAATAGTTAATCAATCTTTGAAACCTATACAAAAATTAAAATTAAAGAACGCTGACTTTTAAATTTCTAATATTTACAAATCAGGTCTTAATTCTAGAAATAGTTACCCAGTTTTTAAATCTATAGAAGATGTCTATATAACGAGACCTACGAAGCTTCCATACCGGAGAAAGAAAGATGCATCTCATGGTTCGACTAGAGAGAGTGACTAAATGTCTTATATCTTTAAAAATATAATATTCTAGAACGATTATTTCCAAATTTCTAATATTTATGATTCAGGTTTTGATTCTAGACATAATTACCAAGTTTTTAATTTAAATCTATAGCAGATGTCTCTATACCTACATCTATACATCACCAATTTGAAGACATGACACACAAAAACGTATGTAAAATCGACAGGATGAATAGAATGCATGTTTTGAAATCAAGAAGAACGGAGAAGGGTAACCAAGGTAACATTAACTTTTATTAATTAAAATGTTAATGAGTAAAACAGCTTCTCATCAACATGCTAACCAATTATTATTCATTGTGTAGAAACTTTGCTGCTACCTGGGTTACAAGAAGATTTTGTATGTTTTATTGCTACTGATTCGGAGTCAAATAGAGGAAGCGAAAATGATATGTCTACTGACGAGTCTGATACCGAACATGGTGATGATAGTACAACGTCTAATGTAATCGGCGGATTTACGGCTGTTAAAGCTGGGTTACAAGAGAACGGTGTGTTTAGTTTCCACTTTAGTTTTTTTATCCGATTACTATCACTAATACTAATAATGGTAGTATGTACATCATAAATAAAAATAAAGGAAATTTAGCAGCTCTTACGTAGTAAATTTTGCGCAGGATATTATGATGATGGTGATCCTTTTTATACATGTGAGAATTGTGGAGCCTATATGTGGTTTGGAGAACGTGTGAATAAAGAATCAAAAAAGGAAAGCCTGTTTTTTCAATGTGTTGTCATCATAGAAAAGTTAAACTCCCTCTTCTCAAACCTCCACCGAATACGTTGTCATCGTTGTTCTATAATCACGATGATAGTAGCATCAATTTCCGTGATAATATAAGAGCATATGATTTTTTCGTTCACATCTCTAGGAGGCAAGGTTAACCATTCTGTTAGTGATGGTTCTGGACCCTATCTGTTTCAGATGTGTGGAGAAAATTATCACCGTATTGGTGATATTTTGCCAGAACCGGGTAAAACACCTATGTTCTTACATCTATATATTCATGATATACAGAATGAGGTTTCTAATAGAATAAATGCATACGGGTAATAATAACATCTTCGTGTTCTCTTATATAATATTTTAAATTTATTTTCCAAAATAAATAATTCACATTTTTGGTGTTTTTATAGGAGATCTGCATCGATCGAAAATTTGAGGCCCTTGACTGTAGAGCTAATCAAGAAGATGCTTGATAATTATAATCCGCACGTCCGGGCTTTTAGGTCGGCAAGAGAGAAGTTCAATATGGATTACGGTGTGGAAGATTTAAAATTACGTTTGCCTTCGGATAGAGCTTCTGATGAGAGGACTCATAATCTACCTACTTGCAATGAGGTTGCTGCTTTGATTCCTGGTGATTTTAATTTCGGTGAGAATAAGCGTGACATTATTATAGAAGGTCGTACAGGCAATTTACAAAGAATAAGCGAGCTGCATCCGGCATATATACCTTTACAATATCCTTTGTTGTTTCCATATGGAGAGGACGGCTACCGGTTAGGGATTGACATAGGTTTTGTAGATACTGCTGGACGGAAAAGGAAAACCGTGAGCATGAGGGAATTTTATGCTTATCGAATATTGGAGAGATATGGAGAAGCGTCTACGGTTGTTATGTCCGGAAAATTATTCCAGCAGTTCTTAGTCGATGCCTTCACGTCTATAGAATCAAACAGATTGAATTATATTTGGATGAACCAAAAAAAACTTCGGACAGAAAGAATAGATAAGATACTCGAAGCTGCTGATAAAGGACGTACTGATCTTTCAGACCATGGTAAAATAATTTACATACCTTCGTCGTTTACTGGAGGAAAACGGTATATGATGCATCATTATTTAGATGCAATGGCCACTTGCAAATTCTTTGGTTTCCCGTACCTTTTCATAACGATCACTTGCAATCCTAAGTGGCCTGAAGTTGTGCGATATATTACTAGACATCGTCTTAAACAAGAGGATAGACCAGATATTTGTTGCCGGGTTTTCAAAATGAAGTTAGATAAGCTTATGCATCAAGTCACCAAAGAAAAAACTTTCGGCACGGTGAATTCTGGTACGTATCTTATTTTAATATACATTTGATTAATATTCTTATACAAAATATATATATATATATATATATATATAGTTACGTTGCCGTTTTGATTTTTTCGCAGCTATGTATACAATAGAATTTCAAAAAGGGGACTGCCTCATGCTCACATGGTCTTATTTCTGCATCCGGATTGTAAAATGCGCACAACAGACGACATAGATAAATTCATAAGTGCTGAAATACCGGACAAAGAAGTGGATAAGTATTTATATGATGTTGTTTCTGATGTTATGATTCATGGGCCTTGTGGACGTCAATACAATGATAGTCTTTGCATGAAGGATGGTAAGTGCACAAAATTCTTTCCAAAGCCATACGTAGATAATACTATGATAGATGATGCTGGTTACCCAGTATACAGGCGAAGAGATGATGGAAGATTGGTACATAAGAGAGGTTTCGACTTAGACAACAGATATGTTATTCCGTATAATCGAGAATTGTCGATACGTTATCGTGCTCACATAAATGTAGAGTGGTGCAATCAGTGACGTTCAATCAAATATCTTTTCAAATATATCAGCAAAGGACCAGATTATATAAGAGCATCTGTAGGAGAAGAGGATGAAGAAAATGAAATTAAACAATATTTTAACTACATGTATGTATAGTAAAATTATAACTCTATTATATTTAAAGGTAACACTAATATACTTAAATCATGTGTTTCTGTAGATATGTATCAGCATGCGAAGCTACATGGAGAATATTAGCTTCCCCGATATGTTATCGTACAACGCCAGTTGAAAAACTGCCATTCCATCTTCCTGGCCAGGAATTGGTTGTTTATAATGAGGATGATCCAATAGAAAATGTTATGTCACGTTCAACAAATGGAGGGAGCAAATTCTTAGCATGGATGGAATGCAATAGACTTGACCCTGAAGCTAGGAAGTTAACGTATGCCGAATTTCCCACCGCTTATGCATGGTATAAAAAGGAAAAATGTAGAAGCTGAGATCAAGGAAAAGAAGAAGTTTCGCAATAGGAAGGATTACGTACGTACCACCTTCTATAGGGGATGCTTACTACTTAAGAGTATTGCTTAATAAAATTCCAGGTGCGACCAGTTTCGAATTCTTGAAAACGGTAAACGGGGTTCTTTACGGAGAATTTAAAGATGCTTGCTATGCATTAGGATTATTGGATGATGATAAAGAATATATTTCAGCCATAAAAGAAGCAAGTCTCTGGTGTTTTGGGAAGTACTTAAGGAAGCTATTTGTGATACTATTGATTTCAAAGAGAGTATCTGTTCCGCTTAATCTTTGGCTCGCGACAAGAGATTTACTATGCGAAGATATTTTATCCCTTCATAGAAACCCCATGAATAAATAAGGTACATCGGAATCTTAGTGAAATTTTTATAAAATATTTGCTCTATTATTTATATATGTCTTTATAAGATATTTTTTACAATCATCGGTATAAATAATTCTCGATATAATATTTATTAATTCTATTATACAAAATGAAATGCAGGTATTATGTTAACACAAGCTCAAATACGGAACATATGTTTGTCAGAAATCGAATTGCTAATGCGTTCGAATGGCACTTCCCTTTCTTTTTTCACTAATATGCCAACACCAGACGATAGTGTGCTAAACCCTAATGAAAATAGGCTTATCATGGATGAGAAAAACTATAAGCCTCATGAACAAAAGACAGAATACAACAGACTATTTTCTATGTTAACTGAAGAGCAAAGACGTGTTTATCAAGACATAATTTACTCGGTAAATCAAAACAAGGGTGGTATGTTTTTTGTGCATGGATTTGGTGGTACTGGAAAAATTTTCTTGTGGAGTATACTTGGAGCTGATATTCGATCTAAAAGTAATATTGTTCTAAACGTTGCATCAAGTGGAATAGCTGCTTTGCTGTTGGAGGGTGGTAGGACAGCTCATTCTAGGTTCTGTATGCCTATCAATATAAACGAATATTCAATGTGTTCGATCGATGCAGAGTCCGATCTGGCAGAATTGATTAGAGAAGCGAAACTCATTATATGGGATGAGGCTCCGATGATGAACAAACATTGTTTTGAAACGTTGGATAGGACTTTGCAAGATATAATGAAGTGCAATAGGATTTTTGGAGGTAAAGTAGTTGTTTTGGGAGGTAATTTTAGACAGATTCTCCCAGTAATTCCTGAAGGTGGTAGGGTCGCAACAGTTTTGGCCTCTATAAAATCATCGTTGCTTTGGCCAAGTTGTAAAGTTTTGAAGCTTACAGAAAATATGCGCTTACGAAAAGGTGTTAATAACGTGCAATCGGATGCTCTCGCCGAGTTCTCAAAGTGGCTCCTGGATATTGGTGATGGGAAAATCAACGAGCCAAACGATGGCGAGGTCGAAATAGAAATACCCGAAGATTTACTAACAGCATCTGAGGATCCTATCCACGCAATCGTTCATGAAATCTATGGTAAATCCTTCGCTAAAGAGAATGACCCAAAATTCGTTAAGCGAAGAGCTATTCTTAGTCCGAGGAACGAAGACGTTGATAAAATCAATCAATATATGCTTTCTCAACTACCAGGTGTGTATTATAATTGTTTACGTGTATTTATTCTATACATATTTACCTGTGTCTTATACATATTTATCAATATTATTATAGGTGAAGAAAGGCGTTATCTTAGTTTGGATTCCATTGAAACATCGGATACGAGTGTTTTCGACGATATGGTATACTCGCAGGAATTTTTAAACAGTATAAATGTTTCTGGATTACCTAAGCATGAATTAACATTGAAGAAGGGAGCCCCTATCATGTTGCTAAGGAATATAGATCCTAAAGGTGGTTTGTGCAATGGTACGAGGTTAATTGTTACTCAGATGGCTAATCATGTTATAGAGGCAAGAATCGTAACAGGTAACGGTATTAATGAAAAAGTACTTATCCCTAGAATGTTTGTGTCTCCGCCAGATGCAAAGTTTTCTTTCCGTATGAGGCGTCGCAAATTTCCTGTAGCTCTTGCGTATGCAATTACTATTAACAAAAGCCAAGGTCAAACGTTGGAATACGTTGGATTGTTTTTACCAAAGCTAGTCTTTACACATGGACAACTATATGTTGCACTATCTAGAGTGACGACGAGAAAAGGATTGAAGATTTTGATTACGAATGAAGATGGGACATGTCAAAACAAGACTCTTAACGTATTTTTTAAAGAAGTTTTTGATAACATTTAGTTACGTATCAAGTTGTTGCATCTCCAGTTTTACGTGCTTTATTTTCAAGTAAGAATAAATATTATCATGCATCCACTTTTTTGGTTGCGCTCTTGAATAATTTCGCTTTTTATAGTTAATCTTTTCAATTTTTAATCGAATAAACCTAATGTATATTCTAAATAAATTCTCAAAAACTTATATTCGCTACTTTAAAAAGGTATTACAACTAAAGAATTATATTTGGAAATTCGATTAGTGTTAAAAAATCTTTAAGATACCAATTTATCAAAAATAATCAACATTAATCATATCTAATTTATTATTTATGATTTGAATACAAAATACTAATTTCACACGAAATAATAGATTTATACAAAAAGTGAAAAATTAAACTTAATTGAAAACAGAAACGACGCACTGTTTTGATTAATGATTATATATATTGTTTCATTTATAGGTTTTTCATCTTCTTCCGACTGTGAATCTATTTGGCAATAGTGAAACCGATAAAACTCTTAATCACGAAATCTCTTTCTACACTTTCTTCAAAAAAAATCACGACATTCTTCACGGCGTTTCAAAATGCGTAGAGATTGCATAGCCAATTTGAATCCGTCGAAGACTGATTGGAACATAGACGTGAAGATTTTGAGTATTGCTTACAGGAGAGATTTCATGACGACAAGGGTTTTAATCCTTGCTGATCAAAGGGTAAGTATCTATCCTATTTACATATAGCATTCGTTTGTAACTTAAATCGATTAGTTGAATGGTTTATATATAGCAATTTAAGCAAAACTCGATTATTGTGATCATGGTTGGACATAATGTTCTAAGTAGATGAATTCTAAATGTAATTGTGTTAAACTCAATTCTTCAGAACTCTATAACATATTAATCACTAGAACTGCTTAATAGGTTATATTGATTGGTTTAGATATAACAATTGAACAAATACTGGATTCTCATTGTAGGGTGATCGTATTGAGGCTTATATATTCTGCAAGAATTCCAAACACTCTGTTCCTAATCATATCTACGATGGGGAATGGTATAACATTCGAAATTTCAAGGTCATCAAGACAGTCTTGCCAGAACGGAACACCAGCCATCAGTACCATATAAAGTTTATTGAGGAGACAGACATGATGATCCTAGAAACTCTGTCCACCTGAGATTACTACTGGTTTGAAGATTTTAGTCATGTCTTCAAAGGAATCATCCCATTCAATTATTCGTATGGTAAGTTTGCTTTTATTTTACAGCATTTTGTAAAAAGTTCAGTATGTTTAAAGTAATAAATTTTAACATAAGTTTGTCTTCTTGCGAGTCATGCTAGATTTCTTCGGTTCTGTTATTGATGTTGGTCCTTTGAAAGAAAAGTTTAGAAAGATGGATGAGTATGGTAATGCTTATGGAGTCAACGGTTTGATTTTCCAAATGATAAATGGAAGGTAACTTAATAAACGTTACTTATGCTTACTTACATTTTACATTGAAAACTTTGCTTATAAATTAGTCTTACTATATACAATTGCCCTACTCAGGAATGAAAAAATCATTTGTCATATTAGAGGAGTTAGTGCTCAGAACTTCTTAAGGGAGTGGAGATCAAAGGGTTACAATATTAGTTACAAAATACATCCGGTCTTCTGTGTCCTTAGATTTTGGAGAGTATCTACATATCACGGTAAAGAAAGCTTTCACTCTATTTGAATGATTTACATTTGAGAATAGACAGATTATGAAATATTAGAATTTCATTTGTTCTTTACTCTTTCTAGGTAATCCCTGTATTACGAATGATGCTGAATGTGATAGTGGAGCTTCAAGAACATTTTTGAATCCAACCAATAATGGTCTTGAAAACCACAGGATAAAGTAAGTTTAGAAGTATTGTTTTAATAATATTGATGTCCCATTGCTGTCTACTTAATATAGATTCTAACCAACTTGGCTATGTAAATTGTAGCTTTGAGTTTGCTGCAACCTACCATTTCGGTTTATCTGCTAAGGAATGAGTACAAGACAGGTTCAATGCAGCTATCGCATAGGAACCAAGTGGTCTGCTTATGCATGTTACGATGTTGTGTATATTGAAACCTTCATAAGACCAATATTATGTTTCAGTTTATATTTTGGTTAGAGGCTATTATGAATCATCGGATAAATTAAGTAAGAACTATGCTGTTTTTGATTTTTATATCATGTTTTGGTTTACAAATTTATAACTTTCGGTCTACTGCTTGATATATAAACATTTACCATTACATTGATGATCTTTAAACAATGGGCCAAATTTATCTTTCAAGTTCTTACAAACAAATGAATTGATAATCACATTGATTTCCTTTTTGTTATTCTAAGTGATAATATCACTTCGTCGTCAAAATATAACGCAAACGGTGTATATTTATCCGGTGAACCGCGGCGAAGCGCGGGTTATTTCCCTAGTTAACTATATAACCCTTGTAAGTCTGAGCAACATGTCGTGGTCCAAAAGCAAGCCATCTCAGTCTACTAGAATGGTCTTTCGAGTTACTTGGAATCTAACATGAAACAAAAAACAAGTCATTATCCTTAAAACTAAACAATATCATTAAACTAAACATTAAATAAGTCATGGAATTTTTCTAACATTTTCTTTGATCCACTGTGGGAATCTTTCTGTATGATATTTCCACAATAGAGTTTCATTTTTTGCACATCTTGCATCTCTAGTTTGTAGTTCTTCCAAATGCAACATCTTTCATAAATTTAGTCACTGAAAATATATTATACAAATTTTTAAAACTATGACTCTTTTAGTTTTGCACTCACTCAAGATATGGATCCATGACTGTTGTATTCATAAGAATATACCGATGAGCTATGTCTCGCTCCTTATCTGTAAGGATCTTCTCTGTAGCTTGCTGTAGTGGTTTGCCTTAAAGGAAATTTTGATATGCCTCAATATCTTCATTGCGATTAATGGTTTCATGAACTGGGAAAGATTTCTTAAGGAATTCAAAATAGAATGCAATGCATTCACCAGCGAAGTAACCTTCAGCCATACAAGCTTCTGGCCTTGCAAAATTCTTCACATAAGCTTTAAGTGTCTTCATGTACCTACATGTGAATAAGAAAATACGAGTGTTAGCTACACATAATGTAAGTTTATTATCTTACTATATCTATAAGAAAAATAAATCTTTACCTCTCAAAAGGATACATCCATCTGAAATAAACAGGGCCACCTAAGCGTGCTTCTCTAGATAGATGTATTGGCAGGTGAAACATAATGTCAAAAAGTGAAGGTGGAAAGTATCTCTCCAACTGGCACATTGTTTCCACAAATTTTGATTCTAATGTAACGAGCTTCTCTGAATCAATTACACGTTGGCACAACCTGTTGAAGTAATTGCATATACGATTCACTGCAACACGAGTTCCTTTAGGCAGTAAACCACTCAATGCCAAAGGAAGCAGATTCTGAATAAGAACATGGTGGTCATGTGACTTCATACTACCAATGTTAGGAGGATCTACTGTCACACAATTGGAGATGTTGGCACAATATCCATTAGGGCCTCTGAATTTGGATAACCTTTTAAAAAATTTACGTTTCTCTTCTTTAAAAAATCAATATGTAGCTGGAGACAAGTTATTTCTCTTACCACGCATCTCAGTATGTAAGTTGCTTCGGATACCAATATCTTCTAAGTCTTTTCTTGCTTTCAAGCCATCCTTGGATTTTACACTATGCATCAGAATGGATAATAATGCATCAGACACATTCTTCTCTACGTGTGTTACATCAATATTATGCCTCACTGGCAAGTACTGTCATATAAACACAAGTTGTTATCAGAAACACATTTTAGTAGTTACAGTTAAAAACAAACATTTAATTTAAATGTACTAACTACTAACCTTCCAGTAAGACTATTCAACGAAGATTGATCTCTTTTTCCTCCTCCATTGATTATCACCTTCTTCATACTCATCACCTGAACTCACATTGTCATCATTGGCTCCATTCATGTTTCTCTTTCCTTTCTTATCTAAAGGTTTACCAAATTCATTCTTGAAGTCTTTAAGGCTCTCATATATTTCTGCTCCACTCTTAATTCTATTTGCAGTGCCAAACTCCACTGTGTTGTCAAACCATACTTTCTTACGTCTGTAAGGATGTTGTGGCCTCAAACGCTTCCTGTTACCCATATAAACATGCTTGCGACTATGCTTCAACGACCTATGAGGTGTATCCTTCACACAAACATTACAGTCTTGCTTTCCCTTCACTTTTCATCCAGCTAATGTACGTAAAGCTAGATAGTCAGTGATACTCCATAGCAACATAGCTCTTAAAATGACACTCTCATTCTTGAATGAATCATACACTTCCATACCTTCATTCCACAATTCCTTTAGGTCATCTATCAATGGGTGAAAATATACATCAATGTTGTTGCTTGGTGCTGGAATCCCTTTCTTCTCCTCACCCGTATGCTTATTCTTTTCCCATCTTGATTCATTACATCTTGGACAGCTCACTAACTCCTCATATTGATTCCTGTAAAGGATACAGTCATTTCTGCACACATGAATGGCATCATAACCAAAACCAAAAAGCTTTAAAAATCTCTTCATCTCATCTGTAGACTTAGACAACACATTGTAATCAGGAAGCATGTCATGAACTAGCATCAGAAGCTGATCAAAGAAGTTTTCTAACATCCCACTCTTGACTTTTATCTGGTAGAGTCCCATGATTGCAGAAACCTTTGTGTAGTTCTGAGAAGTTGAGTATAATGGAGTTTTTGCATCCTCTAACTTCTTCCTAAACTCAACTTCTTCTTGACTGTCATTGTCATGCAACTCTTCTACTTTCTGATTCTGAGATGATTGCTTGCCTTAAAAGTTGTCCTAATCAAATCATAAGCCTCACTTTCACAAGTAGGAACATATGTTCTCTTATCATTCCTCAAATCACCATGTTTACTCCAACAATTACTTCTCTTGTACTTTAGATCCATCCCTCTAATTACCAGATGCTCCAAAATGATCTCCTTTGACTGATGAACCACATTGCAGGAATCAAGGTAAGGACAGAACATATCTGATACATTACCCAAATATCTTGCGGAATCAAACACAAACTTAGTTGCACCTAACTCATACTCAAGGCTATTCATGTAAGTAACAGTAAGTGATAATATAAAAACTCTTAATCCCCAATCATCAAATAAAATCAGTGAAGAATTGTAATGAAATTGAAAATTCTTATACCTTGGCAACCAGACCCAAGCTTTCTCCATGGTACAACAGCTCCGACCAAAGGTTCATACAAGTAATTATCAGAGAACCTCACGTTTAGCCACAACAACCTTACAAAACGAGATCTGATAAAATAATCGAGTTTGAGTGAGATACCTTTGTAGATTGTCTTCTCTTTTGCGAAATTCGAACTACAAAAGGAAAGAAAAGAAGAAATTAATCATCTCAGCTCTAAGAAACACTTAACCTAACTGAAGAATCGAAAGCGACGACTCAAAAGTGAGAATATACCAAATCGAGCAAAACGAAAGGCTTCCAAGCTTTTGAGTTTGAAACAGTGAGACTTCACGCAACAATGAGATAATAAGGTTAAGGGAAGTACAAAAAAGGAGTACATATTGGAGATAGAGGGTCGATGTTTGAGATTAGGTCTGGATGAGGTCTGAAAATTAAGATTTCGGTGGGGATGTAGAGGGTCGATGTCTGAAACCGAGTGGGGAGGTAGAGAAAACAAAATTAGGTCTAAAAATTGGGGGTTTTCAATGGAGGCTATTGGAAAAGGCACTAAACTTTTCTAAGTGTCGCGGATCTGAAATTTTTAATTTACAGCCTAACCCTATTGTGGCGTTTTTATTGAGTATCTGCTATTAAATATAACAAAAATTTAATTTTTCCCGATTGAGAGTATATAATAGCGTTTGTAAATGTACAAACGCTGTATAAAAAAACGACTGACCAACCATAACATTATTCATTGAAACTCTATATAATGCTATCTAAACTCAATATTCTTGTAGTGTTGCTCACTAGTTTTTGATGATATATTACAAGGTCGAGCTCCAAAAGTGAATTACATGGTCAACGGACACTAGTATTGTAACGCCCAAACCGCCATCCCTCCAATGGGCCCCATGTTCACCACCAGCCCATGGGCCCACCTCTCTGATGGGCCTCACGTCCTCTCACTAGGCCCATGAGTCCATCAATATCAGACGGTTCGTTTTCTACGTCCCAAAGGCTTTAAGACTTGATTACCGATCCTACAAATCACCACATGATCTTTCCGTATGTTTTGGCCTCACTCCCACAGTTCCAAAAAGTCACCCATCCTATGGAGTTCTCTCAGGACCTTTGACCGAAAAAGATAAGTGCACTTTGGTGACATAGGTGGTCAAATCAATTCATTTAAACCTCTACGCAAACTGGGGCCTCACAAGTATCAATTGGCGTACTATTTGAAATATGTTATTTATCTGAAATGGTCATTTTTATCCAATCTATTCCTATTCCTCAAGGTCCAACAGCATCGTTACTTAATAATATCAAGAATCCGTCTAAAACTATTTAGAGCGTGCTTTTGGAGTCTTGTAAGCTTGATTTGCCATTGTAAAAAACCCAGCTCTTGTTTGGGATAAGGTAAAAATTGGAAAGATTATGAGAGCATATATCATATTGCACAATATGATAGTAGAAAATAAACAAGATGTATACACTCAGTTTGATGTATCAAAATTTGATAAAGGAGAAGGAAGCAAAACTTCTCAAATGGATATGATGTATTGTACAGATATGCCTACAAATCTAGGAAATATGATTTACATTCGAAATCAAGTTCCTAATAGGAAAATGCATCAACAATTAAAAGCTGATTTGGTTGAAAATTTATGGCACAAGTTTTGCGCATCTCAAGATTTCAACTAAATGTTTTATGATTTAAATCTCAATATTTTGTATGTTTTACATTTCATGTCAAGTAATAAACTTTTTTTTTTCAATTAACTAAGTAAATAATATTTAAAATAAATAAATAGTATTTTTTTTTAAACCCTAAGGTTCACCATTGTCCATTGGAGGAGAAAAAATAAAACATTCAACAAGAGGTCGACAACTTTTAATTAATCATAAAACTTTATTAAAATATGTCTAAGAACCTTTAACAAGGGTTCATCTTTGGAGATACTCTCAGTTTAAATACATTATTTTTCATATTCGCTAAGTTAACTATATTTTCATACTGAAAAATCTCTTAAGATTTTTGTGAAGCCTTTTTAATAATTATATTTTCCCTAACGAAGTATCATTTATCAATAATTTATAATATTACAAGACTCATCATATAAATAAGTAAATTTTGTTTAGTTAAAAAAAAATTCTTCATAAGACTTTAAAACATTATGTTGTTTTTTTTATTTTATTCTCTATTTTTAATATCAATATTTATTTAACTAATATATTTATTTATTTTTATTGTGATTTTTGTAGGTTTTGAAACAAATATGCTAAGTTAGAATTTTGGAGCATATGTAAAACTGAAATGTGAAAGGGAAGTTTTTTTAGAAGAATATCTAAGGCGTATGACACCTTCTCAATTTGAGGTTAAACACAAGGTATATCTATCTTCTTTATCTTTGGTTTTCTGTCTTTTATTCATTTAGTGAAAATGTTCATTTCATACTCGTACAACTTCAAAAGTATCAATTTTTATTTTTACAAAGTTGCATTACGAATTTCTATTCAAACTCAAAAAAAAAAAAAAATTTCATACCAATTAGTACAAATAGTGCCAATTTCATAACCTATTTAATTTAACCATAGGACACTCCACGAAAATGTTTGAAGAAACATAATAGCAAATCATGATATTTTTCAAAGAAACTAACACACTGATAGTTTTGATATTTCTAGAAAGTCTTTATCATTGTTTATTTTGATCCGAGTGAAATACTCCTCGCCATTGTCAAATTTCCAACCTTTGACAAAACGCTAATCGTTAACACTTATATACCTTTTTGTGCAAATATACCATATGTTGATTGAGAATTCATAATCCTGTTGTACTTTCTCTATGCTCAGAATATTCTCTATCAATCTCACATAAGACACTCGGCGCCTCCATAGAAGGTTCAACACCAAAACAAAACAATCTGCCAAATTTTTGGTAAGACAACAGAGATTAGCTTGTAAAATTGACGATTATATAACGACTATTTTTTTATGTTTGGTTTCTATATTTTCTGAAAATTAAAAATTTACCTCAAATAAACGTAAAAATAATTAATTAAAATATATCATTCATTCTAAAAATTTTGAATGATTGAATTTAATTGTAGAACTATATTAAAAGTAAAAGATGTAAGAGACACATATTTCTTACATTTTTCTTTGTTTTATTTTTCATTAATATAAATACATATAAAATGAAATTAATTTATGCTACAACATTTTTAGTACATCATTTTTAATTTTACCAAACATTAAACATAATCTTTTTTTCTCCTTTTTTAAAAATAAATATCAGCCTCAAATAAATGTTTAGAAAAGTTCTATTTATTACTTATGTTTCTACCAATAATGTTTTTAATTGACCACCATGGCAGTTAGTTGATGTGTCAAATATTGATGTTGAAGCAAATGACACAATATCAACTGCAGTAAATGACACATTATGTACTTTCTGGGTGGAAAACTACAAACAAATATTTCTCTTGATTGTGGTGCGCAGATGTTTGGTACTGACAATAAGTTTCTCAAAGATTGACAAAGAAGTTGTAAGATAATGGAAAACACATAAACTAAACCAAAGCATTCTCTTGCCTTGATGGAAGAGAAGATGGATCATTGTTCATCTGCAAGCCACTGTTCAATCTCTTTAGCACTACCATTCCTTTGATATTTCTACTTTTTCATTGTTCAAAATTTGTATTTAGTTTTTTCGGAATTGCATTCAATAATAATGCATCAAAGACATGTCAACTTGGAGGCCCAAGAATCCATGTGGCATAAAAAAGATTGTCAAATATTTACATTAATATGTGATTCAGTTCTTGAATTAATTTTCATGGTAAAAAACAAGTAAAGTTGTCCTTCAAGTTTATGAACTGATTAAGAGACTTATTTGGTGAGTTATTTTTCAAGTCCAGTATCAAAGGGATCCACTACAAGAAAATAGTGGTCTTGCAACACCAAAAAATGTTACAATAATTCAAAATATCGTTGCAAATCATGAGGTTGCAACAAAATTGAGACACATTTTGTATTGTTGTTATTTCCGTGTTGCAAACTCACATTTGTTGCACATATGTTACAAAATTTACAATGAATTAAGTTCTTACTATTATGTCATATTATCGCGACAATACTATTGCAATAACTTTGTCGTAAAATTGTGACATATATTTGTAACTTTAAATTGTTACAACTTATTGCATCATAAAACGTATAGAAAATTTGATTACAAATTTACCATGAATAAATTGATTGCTATGTGTGTTGTATTATTGCAACAATAATTATGCAGAAAATAGTGGTATAATCATGACGTTTTAGTGCAACTTTAAATTATCATAAATAAAAACTACTTAAAATATAAAGCAATTATTGTTGCAAATTTGTAGTAATTATTTTTTTCATATATAGTTGTTGCATATAATTTATGAAGATGACCGAATTAAATAATGTCGCAAATATTTCACTACAATTTATATTTGTCGCATTATTACGACAAATATATAGGCATAATTTCATTACATATTTGTAAGATTGCAATTCATTTTGCAACATTAATTTAAATAACTATATTATGTTTTTTTGGCTGATAAATTATTAAATTACAAATATTTATTTAATCTATATTCTAATAGAAAGTAAAAGAAATAACTTATTTTATTAAATAATCAAATAACTATTTCAGCAATGCATAAATTAAAAACTAGTAGAAAAATCAACGATAAACTAAAATCCATAGTAAAAACTTAATAAGCATGAATAAAACAACTACGTAAAATAAGTTAGTTGTTCGCACGAGCAGAGGATAGATGAGGGCACAATATGTGGATCATTTTCTTCAACCCTTCAAGCTTGTTGATCCTCTCTTTGATTTGCTCATTCTCTTGATAAATCTCCTCCAGTTTCTGTTTAATAGCCTCCTCATTTTCCACATGATTTTCAAAGATAGTTGACACTCCACCCTTGACGAATGATTGTCTTATCTCACTAGTGATTACAGAATCATGTATAAACCTACAAATAAAATCAAATTAATTACACAAATAATACTACATAATAAATCAAAAAAATATAAAGTTTTTCTTACCACAATGTTCCAATAAGTCTTGCTGTATTAAGAACGCCTAAAAAAGCCGGAGC